CCGCCCACCCCCCTCAGACTACCCCATGCGACCAGGCGGAAAACAACCTTGCAACTTTGACATACCGTCCTGTAAATGGGGGAGTCACCATTTTCCCCGGAACAGGCCCTTTAACCATCCAAATGATTTCTAAACGGGTTTATTAAGCTGAAAAAGTTGCCAAGTTCCCCTTTAAGATGAGGTTGGTGGAATGACTTTAGGTTGCAGGAGTGTGTCTCTCGTCATACCTGACAACTTTGCAGTCCTTACAGGTGACATGAAGCTGAAACATATCCCGACACTCGACGCACTCTATGAGCTGAAGAGGAACCTGTGGAGAAGAAGAGAGGGAACATTAACTCTACACTCAGTCAAACTTTGATGGAAAAGACTTATCGAGCGTATCAGAAATGTACCAACCAAACACATGCAGTCAGTACAAGTAGTGCAGTAGACTGCAACTCACAATCCATTTAGCCAATTAGTGATGGTCAACACAATAAAAAGGTTTTTCATGCCAATAATCAGCCACATGTGCTGCAACATCACATGTTAAGTTCAAATATTTAATTTATAAATTAAACCACCATTCATCCACATGGGGCTAAAAATATGTAAGTCACACAGATTATTTGTCCAGGTGCATTTCCATTAATTTTTCACATCACATCTCCCTGAGCTCTCTTAATATGCATAATCTTCTTAACTTTGAGTATGGGCGGACAAAAACACACAATACTAGATTGTCAAGAGCTTGTATCTGCATTTCCCTTTTGGCCCAGAGCTACAGTCTTATCTTTCATAGGCAAATACCATCCAAAGTACAGAACTGCCATGTGCTTATGACTAAAGAGCATACTTTGAATACTGCAGGGAAATAGCTATGCTGCTTTTGACTAAGCTCTGTTAATTAGTAAAGAGCACTTTTCAGCAGCACAGTGGGCTTTCACAAAAAGGCGTGGCTCAAGCTTCTGTTCACACACAGTCAGGAGCCGTGCACGATGTGCAGCCACTCATCAGCAGGTCAAGCACCCAATAAATGAGTGCAATGACAGGGTTACTGCCTGATGGCAGCTTGAATTCTTTGTGCGGATAGATCATATTTTTTCATCACGTCTACCTTAATCCAGCATCTGGTGTTAAACAGGATGAACAAGCAGGGTCCTACTCCTCTAGGCACCAGCCGGTTAACAGACAGGCACACACAAATTATACACTCAAGTCAACCACTCCACACCGTGCAGCTCTGCTGGGTACTTACTGACACCTCACAACAACAACTCTATCCAAAGCAAAACAGAGAGAACAATAATCAAACTGATGCATGTCGATTTGTGACTACTGTCTGTCTGTGTATGGGTGCTATCGCAGCACATTCCGGATGTTCGAGCATCCCGCTGCCACAATTTAATTCCTGCCCTCTAATCTACATCCCTAATCTGGCCACCATCAAAATTCCTCGGCTGCTTGTTAACAGCCTCTCGCTCTCTTGCAGCACCTCCCACCCCTGATTTGTGAGCTCTGACAACTCTGCTATGTGATGCAGATGCCTCATCAACCCTTCCCAATATGTGTGAGGAGAATGTTGGCTCTGTCTGATGTGAGCACAGAGAGGTGGCATGTGGGCCAAGAACCAGAGGTCATTCAGGTCCAATTAACCCTGACAACATATATGACATATATATACATACACATATGAATGCAACCAACAGAACCAATGAATACATTATATAGATATAGTGGTTTGATTAACTAAACAATGACATTTGGGCTTTGGTATCACTATTACTATTTCAGTTTTCAAACAATGCAAAGTAACTGACTGAAAACCTAAATATAGGTAATGACATGAAATACTGCAGCCATCACTGGGGCATCATTTGATTTATTTCACTATCTACTGCTGGTACCAATACAAAAATTATTTTGATACCTTACTTGGAACATAAACAAAACATACAACAACTGTCCTTAAATAAAATAGTGTCGAAATGTTGAGAATCAGGAACTATCTGATCAAAGAACAAACAGGATTTCAGATCTGACCAGACTTTTAGTACTTTGGTACTTAGTGCTACAGACAGTAAAAAAAAAAAAAGAGGTTCAATGAATGTTGCTAGCCTTATCCTTAACATTGATTAATTATTGTCAACAAATCCATGAAAAGACCAAAACCAACAACAAGTTCGTCTCTCAATACTCTGCGACTTCTACTAGCTCTCATTGGGTCTTACTGAAGACACAGATCTTTAAGAACCATCTGGAATATAAACTTTAATTTTTAGAAGGATATTGAGCGTTTTAGGTAGCAGGAAGGTGGGACTGGCTCCAAATAAACAAGACTGGCTGCGTTCAAGTTGTCACCCAGCTCAACTGCGTGTTTCACAGATTCATTTTAATAGTTGACCATACTTATTGACAGGATCAATTCATTGTTGGTTTTAGTCTTAGTATCACCAGAAGTATCCTTTAAAAATGAGTGAAGTATATTTTTGAAGAAAAGGAAGTGAAAAAAACAAAAGCTTTCCCTGCTTGTCATTGCACAACTTTCCCGCGGTCACATATCAGCAGCAGAGCAGCTTGGTGATCTGAACATAGCATATGTTTTTCTTAAGGCATTTAGAGTGAGATTTTTTTGGTCAAATTATGAGAAATACTTCATTTGTGGATTAAAAACGTTCATAGAATTGCAAGTTGATAGAGAGCATACTATCATAACAACAGAGAATACAGAGTCTGAAAAAAAAGTACCACAACCCTGTGTCCACAACAGAACATACAGTACAAATGTATATATATTTAAATGTATGTATGCATTATGTGTATATGTGGGGTGACTCTAGGTTGTAATAAGCCTGTCTAGTAGCAGGAGTATAAATAAGAAATAAGAAACCATAGTGCAGTGAACCATCTTTGCAATGGCAAATGGAGGTTTTTTTAGAAAGTGACCACACTTGGGTAACAAAGCTAGTCTCTCTTTCTAAACGTGGTAAAAAGAGACAGAGAGAGGGAGAGAGAGGGCGCGACTGTTATGCATCCCCTCTGGAACCACTGCAACCAAGGCAACGGCAAGTGCAGAGAGAAAGCGGAGCAGGCGGGAGAGAGTAGAAACAGAGGCGATGAAGAGTCACGCGGTACTGCTGCCAGTGCAGATCAGCTCTGAATGGCCTGGTCACCACAGCGCTGGCACAATGGCCCCAGCTCTGTCCATTCACAAAACATTAATACACACTTTCACACAGCCTCCAGTAGAGACAATGTAGTTCACTCTTTGGTTATTTAAAGCTGTGTTTCTCTAATCGTATTCTCTGACTTCATCGGTTACTTTTCAAAAATACTTACGTTGACAACAGACTCTTTGAACTTGATGTGTAGGCGGTAGTTGGACGTTGCGATGATGGCGTCCTCTGCTCTCCCCACAATTAACTCTGTGAACTCCCCGTGCAGCTCAGGAAAGGGCACCTAGCAACAGCAGGAGATAAAACATTTCAGACAAACTGCAGCAGAGCCACAGAGGGCTGTGGTATGATAGATTATTGCACTAGATATGGTCATCATGACTACTTGTATTGTACTACTTGCCAATGAAAAATTTCCCAGGTTAAGTTTTAAACTGTAAAACTGTAGGCCCCTTTCCATAACCAACTAGCCAACTTCTTCGCTTCCACCTCCCTTCCAGAAATGAAGGAGAAACTACAGTGGCTTCAAAAAAAAAAAAAAAAAAAAAGCACAAGCCACTTTCTAGAGCCAGTGTTTGGTTTGTCCACTCTGGGCTCCTGTAGAAACAAGGAGATTCAACATGGCCGTCTCCATGGAAGACATCCGTAGATAAACACGGCTCATTCTAAGGTAACAAAACACATTCCTATATTCAGGTGAATATACACTAATGAAAACATACCTAGGAATATATATATATATATATATATAAACATGCTGGACCTTTAATGAAATCTTTGTTTTTCTCAACAACATAGACCGTAAAATAAGTTTGTTTTTATTTTCAGATTATAGGGCTACACGTCACTTGACTTTTGAGCTCCTGAGACCGGTCAAACTGAAAGTGAGCTTAAGTCACTTGCGACTTAAAGGTGGTTATGTAACTGATTACAGAGACTCGGCCACACATTAACACATAACTGTCAGAGGACCTGGGTTTCTTTTACAGCATGAGATAAGCAGCGAGGGCAGCGGCTTCCTCACCTGCATGTTTTCCTCCTCTAGGACGGGGGACTTCTTGGGGAAGATCTGATTGGCCTGGATACACTCCAAGCTCTGCTGCCCCTCCTCCTCCTGCAGAGAAAATGCTTGTTAACTGAGTCTTTACTGAACTAGTCTTGACTTTAACAACCAAAAGCTTCTCTCACGTGTTTGTTTTAATATGGCTTTCGAAACCTTTGCTGAGTATTTCTTTATTTATCACTCTGCTCCTGTCACACATTCACATTCACAGCTTTGTCCACTAAGCTGCTCTGCAGGAATTGTCTGGGGTGTTGAAAAACGTACTAAATCACCTTTGTAGTAGTCGTGACAGAGAGTTGATTTAAAGCCAACTTGACAGTGCTGTATTTATGCGGCTGCATTTTCCTTCCCACCCCCACTGTAATGTGCAACCAAGGCTAATTTACTATAATCACCCGTTGTACAACAATATATGGTATAACAGATGCCAGTAACATACAGTGCTCTAAAACTAAAAATACACATGGTAATTAATTTACACAAGACCCTGAAAAAAAAGGAGAGCCAAAATTGAATTTCTGGTTGGCAAAATCAAATTATGAAGATTTTTTGTTTAAAGGCAGTTTCCACCAGCAGTCTGTAGCCTTTCATGAGGGCCGAATGTTTGAGGTCACAGTGCACAAGATGAACATATTTCACAGAGAATGAATCAGTGGGGAATGTGAGGCATGAATATACAAGCGGATTCAGGGATTTTTCCTCAAGGGCAAACTGGTGGAAAAAATGTCTGGCCTTGTGCTGACAGAGATCGGTGGGGATCTATGGGCTGTGTGTTTGGTCAGAAGTCCGAACAGTGTGCAAAGAAAGATTAAGGTGGTCGAAAGAGATAGAAGATAACGGACAGCAACGGCACAGTGGGATGCTGGCTCAGCATGAGCCGAGCTGATACACACAGGCGCCGTGGCTTGAGGAGCAGTGTGCTGTGAGGCCAGGGGGCAGGCGCCACACAGCAGTGTGCCAAGAACGCAATAACACACACACACACACAGTTCAACAACCAACAGCAGTTATGTCATGATGCAACGACACAACATAAAGTTTTTCAGTGAAAACCGAAAGCTGCCCTGCTTAGGCAGCAGCCTCGGAGGACCTTTGACCCTGTTGCAGCGGATGTAAGTGTCTGCTTCCTGATAAACAGAGCTGATTAATAGTTCAAATCAATAGAGAGTTTCCAATCCGGCACACTGCACCCGGGCCACACCGCAGTTACTGCCCGAATCATGCAGGAACTGAAAGTACTTTACCATGGCCCCTGTGAAGGAGTGTGGGTCACCCAACGAGGAACTCCGGCCTGGACCAGTCTGTACAAAGAGAACACAGAAAGCTGAGAAATTATTCAGAAAATATGAAATTATATTTGATGAGTTTAAAGTAAATATCTTTAAAACACAAAACAGCCATCATCTTACGTGTGGTCTGATCAAATTTCAAATTAAGATCTTCTTGTTTTCTCCTCCAGCCTGAGGTGAGCCATTGTGCAATTGTAAAATATGGAGCAACATTCATAGAATTCATGATTGAAATACTATATTGCCTTTTCTGACAAAGTCTCACTATCAGCACTGATTTCAGGTCAGTTTAGGGCATTGTGAAACTGCCTTTTTTTTTGCCACAAAGCTTCTTTTGGGTGGGCATCAATATTAATGATTGGTTTTTTAAATTCAGTTTAAAAGGAATTCAAGGTTCAGTTGTTCAAATCAGTGGGTCACCATTTTATCTGGCAGGTTTATCTAACAGACAGTCTTACTGACAATAACTAAGAAACTAAACCTCGATTACTTTTAAGGTTTACGCCATCATTCTGGGAGACGGTTAGTGTCCTACAATGTAAACACATGTTTACTCGTGGTGGCTGAGGGGTTAAGGCACCGACCACAAACTACAATGTCTCTGGTTCGATTCCGGCCGGGGACCTTTGTTGTATGTTATGACCCATCTCTCTCTCCTCATTTCCTGTCATCGCTCTACTGTCCACCCTCAAATAAACAAAAAAATGCCCCAAGACATACTTAAGAAGTACATGTTTAGCATCTAAACAATGTAATTCCAGTATTGTTTTTTCAACAAATGCCTTGCTAGCCCGAGTCTCATCCATCAGCCCACAGCTTCTACTGTTGATGAAATGACAAACAAAACTAACTTTTCTGAATTCTGACGGCCGATCCAACTGCTGGCCTGTTGTATTGGTGATGTTGTACGCAAGCATCAGGATGTTTACATACTTTCTCAGGGAATGGGTCTAGGCAATGAACTGACTGTAGCCCATGATCGACCACGAGATTGTGAGCCCCTGGTTGGGCAGTCAGACATTCAATAGCAAATCAATTCAACATGAAATGGCACAACAAGGGGAGGCTTGGCCAGCAACAGCAGCATTTAGGCCTTCAGTAAGGCTTATATTCAGTCGGTTGCATCAAATGTAGTAAAGAGGGACAGAAGTACGACCGCCACAGCAGATGATTAAAAAACAAACGTCACATAACAACAGTGAAGTGAGATATATCTATCAGACTTACCACAGACAATCAGTAACGGACGATGAGCGGTCCTGATGATCCTGTTTGGAAACTCTCACAAGTAAGACATGGAAATCTGTGAAAATGAAGGCAAACATGTAACTGAATAATGAGCAAATGCTTTTCCTTACAAACTGGTCTATATTTTGCAAACAGCAGACTTTTTCTCTGAGACGTTCAAGCTACAGAAGCTCTTTTGATTCCCTTGCAAATATAGCTGTACTGGTGGTCACAGCGGCTTGAATGTGAGCTCAGAGATACCACTTAAACTCAGTTGTGGAATGGAAAAAAGTCAACTGCACCTTGAAGCACCAAGTCTACAGTCTAGCCAGCATACAGACATGGTTCAGTCACGTGAACTTCTCATCTAATGTTCACCTTTAGAAGTAAACAAAAACACGCAATTCATACAATTTTAAACGTGCTGCCTCGTCTTGAGGTTAATACAAGCTAATGGAAAGTGTTGCAGATGTGCTAGTGTGAAAGAAACACATTAATGGTTAAACCAGCCAACAATGGCTGGTCAAGCACACATACTTGGCAGAACCAAACACTTCAGAGGACTCGGCTTGATGGATGGTATTAACTTCCTGCGCAGTGTACAGTCGGAGCAGCTGAAAAATGCCAGCCACCAAGAACATGAATCGGTACCTACTTTTTTTGTTAAACTATCTTTAAGTGATATCACATCTCTTTTCAGAACAGCCAACCTGTTAGGGATCTCTCTGGCCCACAAATAGTTGTACGGTCAACTACCCTTGCAGAGACTGAAACCTGACCCGAGAAGGTCAGTGAATGAGAAGAATGAGAAGGACCTCAACACTGGAACATTTAAGTAAAGCTGGCTGCCTAGGGGCAAACACAAGACAAAGATCCCACTGCACCAGTGGCACAGGAGGACCGGAGGACCGCAGCACCGTCCGGTTGTTGAGAGTGGTGTGAAGAGGCCGGGGGGGAGGTCATTACCTCACTGGCCGAGTCCGGGTCCAGCTTTTACTGCTGGCGCTACCTGATAAAGCATATCTGCCACACACACAGGGCTCTGTTTACTGCAGCGGGCTCATAACCCGTGGCTGCGGCTCAGTTCTGAGTTCAGAGTCACACAGGGAAGGCTAAGCCCCTTAGAGCCTTAACGTTACTCCTATCCCGTGACAGGCCACCATGCATCATAGGCTGCAACATTACAAAGCAAACAGCCCCAATCTCCTAACTTATGTTAGCTAGTTGTTGACTGTGGCAATTAACAGCAATTACACTGAGTTAGCCTGACTAGGTTGACAGTCAGGGAGTAATACTGACCTTAACAGCCGCACTAAACAGGCATTAACTCACATAAAAGCATATCTGTCGGTTAACTTTGTGTCTGAAAAAAACAACCAGATTCCGTAATGTTAACGTTATGATTTCACTTTCCAATTGTAACATTAACAAAGGCGAGCTAAAACCTTGACGTTATTTCCACTAAGCTAGCATGTGCAGAGGAGTTAAACGCAACGTTGGCGAGTAAAAATAAGCTACAAGCATCCAAAAAACATAGCAAACTATTGTGAATTGTTATCTTAACGAGTGTTAGCAAGGGCTGCGCGACTTAACGCTAACAACTATGCAGAAATCCTTTATTAGCAGGCAAAAGTCCGTAGGTAACAAAAGGGTTTGTCTGTATAGATAACTAACCATATCAACAGACAAAAGTAACTAGCTAGCGGTAACATTGCTGTCGCTCATCCTTCTCTTTGGGCAACGATAAGCTAGATCTTCTGCAGCTAGCAAACGTCAACACTTCACTAAGAGGAACACGTCCACAAAGTAATGCTAAATGCTAAAGTGGATATTTGGATTTCAACGAGCCGACATTAACGTTTAGTACGAAGCAGTATGCTGATTTGTTGCAATCTCGTAGTACTCGGTGTTTGCCATTAGTAACTGTGAGCAGCCTGTAAGCGGGCTCGCTAACATTAGCTGGTGGAGCTAGCGCAGCTCTCTGCAACTGTTTTTGTTGTTATGAGATGGAGGGCGGAACCCAAAACGGAGGCCTCTGTCAAAACACACCGATGAACGACCACAACCGGCGGACTCACCAGGGAAAGGAGCGCTGAGAAGTTAGCAGCCAAAGATTCATCCGAAGCCCGTGCAATTACTAAGCAGCAAAAAAACCTCGATCAAATAAACATTAGTCATATCCGAGCCGAGGCCAGCTTCACTGCGTCCCTTTCCAGCACCGAGCCGTCGTCGCCATCGTCGCGAATTCTCCAGCCCAACAACCTACGTGAGTCCGTGACGTCATCGCGTCAGAGCGATGCGATGGCCAGGGGAGGGGCTCAGACACACCATGCGGTACGATCATGTAAACACTGGACTGCCCGAATACGTATAATACATATACAGGCTAATGGACATTAATGATAGTGAATGCAACCAGAGTGTGCCAGTGTTTACATTATCTAAAGACTGCTAATCAAGCAAACAATGTGGAAATGACTAACTAGTTTAGCATATAGTACATTCTGTTTTAGATTCATACAATACATACACGTTACAGTAAATGACAGTGGGGTTTAATAGCATGTTTTTTTTTATAGATGTACCTTTATTCATTTGTGTGCATTCAGATGCACTTGGGGAGGGGGGCATTCCTAACCATAAAGAAATAAAAACACAACACAGCAGGATCTTAAACAATTATGTATTGAATGATGGCTTACATATGCAAATTCAATTCCAAGACGCTTGGTATACCTTTGTCCATTCTTAAACATTTAATAGCCTGACATGTGTGAGGCATTAGACAGTAATTTACGCCTGCAGGACACTTCTCTTTATTGACTCACAGCTGACTTTCAAATGAAGAATTTTCTTTGTGATAAACCCTCAGTGGCAGAGTTGTAAATATTGTTTCTATATTAACAACTATGAACACAATCATTCAAATTTTGCTCACCAATTACCTCATTATTTAGTGACAAATGTCAATTATAAAATAAAACCATCTAATGTGTAGGGCTCTTGTTACACAAAGCTTTTTTTCTGAACTGGGCTACCCTACACCACTCTTAAATCACACTTTACCACTAGGCATTAGTCCTGTGGGGATAATGCATGAGGCATATGATATGGCACAAAATAATCTTGATTTAAATATTTACCTGGAAGTGATGTTTACTGGGTCGTTATTGGGTTCTGATTTGCCGGGTTCATGATGACTTTGTGAGAGCCAAATTTATCAGCTGCACCATGCATGGACTTCACTAATGTAAAAAGACTTGAAGTGCTGATTCAATGTCCCTGTGCAAGAACAACAACACAAAAACACAGTCTATCCCTTGTCATGTGACTAGAATGGATTTGCATGCAAAACAATGAGATGGGCTTTACATGAAGAGATAATGGTCTGGGTAAATACATTTCTTCTTCAGTCATATGTCCATGTTACCATGAAAGACAATGAAATTTCCACATAAGAAATGCCACTTCTAATCATACAGTATATTATGCACAAAAAATGGTGGTACGAAAACCAGAGAAAAATCTTCTGTGGCTCCAAGAGAAAAGAAAAACAGTATTTTAGAGAGCAAAGTCTACTGATCTCAAAAAATGCAACCCATTAGCTTCATCCTGGTAGCTCCGATCGACACTGTACTTTGACACATCTGTGTAATGAATTACAAAACAGCAACAGCTCTCTGACAAACCACCGCTTTCTGTGAAAGTTGCATTTCCCATATACACACAACTTCCACAGGTCCATTTAATATATAACGGAGTCATTCTCTACAACACATAATGTTTATCATAGTCACCACCACTGATGAGAGCAACTGTTTCAGTAAAGCTTTAAAAAGCAAGACTACCCTGAGAGAAGGTCTAAAACGTGGGCAAGCTTGCCAGACCAGAACTGGCTTGAATGGGTTTGGTTTATTAAATCTGTACACTCTATTTCAATATAATCAGCACATTTTGTTCCAAGAATGTAAGATATTATTTTTTTTAGTAATTGTGTAATATATATCTCTACATAATACAATCCAAGTCCTCTGAACTATGTAGACATGTGCAAGTGTTTACTACCAACTTCAACGATACAGTAAAGGCAAAGACTTGTGGACACTAAGTTAGGATAATGTTGATATTTGAAATTTTCTTGAGTCCTCACAATTATCAAAATCTAAGTGCTGTAAGTAGTTCATACACGAGGTATTGAATATCTAGTTAACTGTTCTGAGTATAAAATAGAGGCAAAATACATAAAGAACATCTTGCAAGCATGACAAAGAAACTTCTACAGACACAATACACAAGTGGTCAAAGATAATATGAGGGGATACCTGTAACCTTTTGTGTCCTTGAATATAGTGTACTTACAGATTTGATGTTTTCATGTTGATGAGAGGTCATACTGTATCATGCTCTCACATACTGTGAGCCTTAGCCCCAAGGGAGATCAATTCACAGCACTGCATTGTTGCTCAAGGCAATCTTTTCATATCAAACTGCCCGGCTAAACATCTCCGTGCTTAGAGGTTGAGGTGTGTTTCATCAAGTACACATTATTCTAGCTACAGTAAATGACCCATTTTGAAGAAGTGCACCGAGTCAGGTGTTACCTGTGAGGAGGATCATAATACACACACATAAAGGAATTATTAGCTCCCCATCTCCTCATACAGCAGCATATTCTTTGTAAAAGACAAGATTTTGCTTGTTAAAACTTGCTCCGTGTCTTGATCTCGGCACAGCTGAGGCATGATACGGAGTACTTTCCCTCCATCGATTCAAATAAGCGTGGGTCATGTTTATGTATGTAAGAATGAAACGCATGGTCATAGCATGATGTGCATCAACATAATCTGAGGTAAACCAGGTGTCCTGTGTCTTGGCCTGTTACAGTCTGAGAACCAGTGCCTTAGAGGGTCAAAGAGGTAAGTCTGAAAGAAATCATGTAAACTGTGCTCGTGTGTAGTGAATGTTTCACTTACTACCAAAAGCACAAGGGCCCTAAACTGTAAACCTCAAGGATTATTCAAAGAAAAAAACTAAACAGAACACTAAAAGTACTCTACTCATTAGATTCAACGTTTCCTTTTTTCTTATTTTTTGCAGGGTTTTCAACTTTTTTTTTTCTCTTGTTTTCGCTCAAGTATAATCACAGGTGACTAACTACAGAGGATAACAGGGTCAGGTGAGTACCATGCTACATCAGGTTTAGAGAAGGCTATTGCAGACAGTTCTACAACATGTACAACCACATTTTATACGTGTGAGTTACAAATATTTCAAAACATATCACCAAGAAACTAAGTACATACAAGATGTTGAATATTTAGAGTCTTAAAGGACTATCCCTCAGTCAGTAATAGGATTTCATGTTACTTGACTTAAACTGTCCAGTCTTACAGACAAAATCTGAAAAATTGCTATTCAAAAAGTAGCAAATTTGGTCAATGTCTCTTTTCAAATAGTTATAGTGCTTTTAATGGCTTAAGACAGGGGTCTTTTTTTAATCTCACCCAGTGGCAATCTACAGAACTTCAGTGTACATTTTATGACACCATAGCTGCAAAAGTCTTCATGTCAAGTCCAATAGGTAAAACAACAGCTAGTGCTGTCACATATATTTAAAAGTAGTATGCATTATCAAAAAAAAACAAAACAAAAAAAAAACAAATACACAATTATAAATTTTTTTTCAACTCTTTAAGTTCTTGTAGGGCATTCAGCCATATGTTTAGCTCTGCGTTCCCATTTCCTATGAGTTACCAGTCTGAGAGGACAGGCCCCCAGGAGCCAGGCTCCATTCCAAGTCTTCAGGAAGCTTCTATTTCTCTCCTGTGTGCCGCGAGGGTCATCAGGACTAGATACAAGTAAGAGGGGACTTAAAACTCCCACTCCAGTGTTTCCTCTCGATTGGCTGCTCTCTCTAGCCTGTGGATGATGTTATTGAGGTTGGCCATTTTCTCATTGCGTCTCTGAGTGCTTCTGTTGAGTTTAGGGCTTTGGAAGGGAGGGAGCGGGTTAGGGTCCAGGCTGTGATTGGTGCTCGTCGAGGGCGGGTTTGGCAGCGAGGGCGATATGGGAGCGGATGAGGAGGGGACGGGGGAGACTGACATCATGAGGCCGGGTGAGGATGCGGCAGAGGGGGAGTTGAGGGAGACCTCCAGGCTGCTGCGGCAGGGCTCCGACGAAGCCTTGAAGCTGACCGGGTCAATGGCGGACTTTCCGGAGTCTTCCCCCTCGTGCCTGGACTGGTTGGTTCTCTGGGGGCCGTCTATGGAGACTGCGACATGGTAGAGCCCTTGCGCCTGGCTGCTCATCCCCTCTTCTTGCCTCAGGCTCTGGCCAGCCAAGTGGGGCTCGCGGTAGACAGTGATGGAGTCCTCGTGTTCGTTTTTTAACGGCGGGAACTGCAGTGCCGTGGAAAAACGCTGAACTCTCAACTGTTTCATGGAGCCCTCCCTTCCCTCCTCCCCCTCGTCTTCCCTGTCTATTGCCTCTTGTTTGACGTGAGGCAGTGCTGTGTTGGCGCTAAGAGGAAGGCTGGAGTTGATGTGTCCTGAGGGCTGCTGCAGCCTCCTCTCCTCTCCATCGGAGTGGGGGCTCCGCGTCACCGGCGGGGAGTAGCTGTGGTGCTCAGCATCTGTGTCATTGTCTGGCAGACCCTCCATCAGTACCTCCCGTCGCATCCTGGACCTGGAGACAAACACTGCTGTTAGTCACATAAGGTCGTAATCATATGAGAGTAATTAAAACAACAGAGGCAGCCATTAGCAAACTTTACAAAGGTCATTGGACTGGCCTGTAGTTGTGGAACCAGTTGATGACAGTGTTGGTTTTGAGTTTGAGCTGGGAAGCCAATATCTCGATGGTGTTCTGAGAGGGGTAGGGCTCCAGGAGATAGGCTTTCCTCAGAGCTTCTTTCTCCTCAGCTCCCAGCACCACCCGAGGCTTCTTCACCTGGCTGTAGGGGCACAGGTCCAGCGAGGCCAAGGTCGGACTCACACACTCAGAACGAGTGCTGGGTGAGTCGCTGTCTGAGCCGGTGCTCAGGAGCCCATATCGCCTTTTCAGATAGGCTGGAGGGAAGACAGTGACAGCAGGTGTAAGAGGATTACAAAACGCCATCAAATTCACAAACTCAATAGATATTACAGAATACACTAAGGGTCCCCACCTTTCTTCTCCATCTTCTTCATGGCCCTCAGCTTGTCCACATTGTGAGGATCATTGAGCCACAGCTGCATGCGGACAAACGGCTCCCTGCCTTTCAGG